AGCGCCAACCGTGGGAAGGCGTCGGGAGAGAGGGCCTCACCTCCATCAGAGGCCATGGAGGTCGAGGCCCTATCGGACGGGGGGGACAATAAGGCCGAGTAATGCCTCGCTCTCCCCCCCGTCCGAATTTGAACGGATTCGGCCTTATTCAGGCCAATGTGAACCACTCTCCACGTGCTCAAGATTTGCTCCAGCAGAGCATGGTGGAGAGTGGTTTCACGCTGGCGATCGTGGCCGAGCCCCACCGCCCCCCCAGGAACAGACCGTATTGGGCTGTTGATAATGGGGTGGCGGGGGACTCGGTCGCGATTCGATGGCGGTCGGTGCCGGGAGGACCCGACACGGCCGCCATCGAACGAGGTGAGCGGCATGTGGCCGTTCAATGGGGGCCCATCGCGGTCGTTGGGGTCTATTTAAGGCCCTCCAGGTACCTCCCCTCCTTTAAGGGCTGGCTCTCGGATATCGGGCAAACGCTCGTACGCCTAAGTCCAAGGCCGGTCCTCGTGGCCGGGGACTTCAACGCGTGGCACACGAGTTGGGGTTCCCGGCACGACAATGAGAGGGGTAGGGCCCTGGATGAGTGGGCGGCGACGCACGATCTGGTCCTGGTCAACGAGGGCCGGACCTCCACCTGCGTGCGGACACAGGGGGAGTCCATCGTGGATCTCACGTGGGCTACCCCCTCGACCGCGAGCCTTATTACAGGGTGGAGGGTGGAGGAGGGCACCGAGACTCTGTCTGACCACCGTTACATAACGGTGGAGCTCGGTGCCCTCTCCTCCGTGCGTCGCCAGGAGACGCGACCGCGATGGGCCCTTCGCAAACTCTGCGAGGACGCCCTGATGGCCTCGTTAGAGGCCGCCTGTTGGGTCCGGGGAGGTCTCCCCGAGACCCGGGAGACGGACCCCTGCAAGAGGCCGAGTGGATCGGGGCATCGTTAACAGCGGCTTGTGACGCTGCGATGCCCCGGTCCAAAGCTCGACCTCAGCGGGCCGTCTACTGGTGGACGGCAGAGATCGCCGACTTACGTCGACGAGCCGTCCACCAGCAGAGGAGACTCGCCCGCTGCAGGCGCGGAGGCGGACAGGCGGCCGAACGAGCGAGAGAGGGCTACCTTGAAGCCAAGGTAGCCCTCAAACGGGCCATCAAAGTGGCAAAGGGCAGGGCGTGGACGGAGTTCCTCGACTCCCTTCAGGAGGATCCGTGGGGGCGCCCATACAAGATGGTTCTCAATAAGTTGAGACCATGGGCGCCCCCGCTGACGGAGCGGCTGGACGTGGGATTCGTCCAGAGGGTGGTGCAGGCCCTCTTCCCCGACATCACCGGGGAGGAGGAGGGGCCACCCTTCGAGTCGGGGGAAGACTCCCCCGACTGGGACGACTCCCTCGACGTCCAGCCGGAGGAACTCCAGAGGGCCGTCAGGAAGGGCCTTAGAGGCAACACAGCCCCGGGTCCTGACGGCCTTCCCAAGCGTGTCCACGCCCTGGCCATGGGCGTCCTCGCGGAGGCATACAGGCGCGTGTACAGCGCCTGTATGCGGAGAGGTGTCTTCCCCCCGCGGTGGAGGAGTGCCACGTTGGTACTCCTCCCAGAGGGGAAAGACGCCTCTCTCCCGTCGGCGTATAGGCCTATATGCCTTCTGGACGAGGTCGGTAAATTGTTCGAGCGAATACTCGTGAACC